GAGTGCTCAAAGAGCGGCTCCCACAGCAAGGAGGGGTTCGTGAATCATCGCGGTGCCCTCTACCAAACGGTAATCTTACCAGTCTGCGTGACACAAAATCATCCAGCACATGTATGCAACACCGATGTTTGCAGACCCACGAACACAACCCCCGCAAAAAACCGTTGAGAAATAACGAAGTGCCTACGGCAGCCCCCGCCCTCAACAATGTCTAATGAGGCTGGGCACGGATTGACGCCTTCGGGATAATTCCCCGTTGCACATGATGAGGAAGAGCTGCATGCGCGCGGTAGGCCTAGACTAGAGCCATTGGGTGTGCAGGACCAACTGCTGGTGTCTGAGTACGTGTGACGACACCAAATTCTGAGTTCGCGCCTCTCCCGAAGGGGACTCAGGGATACACAACGCACAATTTTCATTCATCCTTTGCTACCATCCAGATAAAACTGTAGGGGAATAGCTTACCTAAGCAGAAACTGCTGCTGGCGTGTCGCTCTCGTTTGTCCACGCGCGCCGTGTAGAAGCTCGTCTTGCCGCTCTTAGCAGCACAAGTGCGGCGTATTTAAGCCGGCGGTTGCCGTGCCCCAAGTCCGAGCATCTAGATGTAGTAGCTGGTTGCCTTGGTTACGAAAGGAATGCCATCAGTTTGATCGCTATTCGTCTTGGCACGCTGCGGCCTCTGGTCGCCCGTATCAAGGCTCGTCACGTGGAAGCGAGGGCGTGCAGGCCACATGACAGCAAACGCCACGAACAGGGGGCTCGCTGGTTCGAATGCACATCCCCCACCTTCGCTTCCCATCTGTCTGGCGGGATCCAAAGGTTGTCACTGCCTCCCAACCTGTATGTTCGGTGCTTTCACCATCACGAGGCCTGGCCTAAGTTTGTAGCTGCTTCCCAACCTGTTTGATCGGTGCTTGGTACAACCAGAAGGGCTGGCCAAGGTTGTGACAGCCCTCCCAACCTTCCACACCGAGCCTTGTACAACGAGGAGGGCTGGCCAAGGATGTGGCTGCCTCCCAACCCCCCTCCACAACCTGCCCGACCTTGGGGGTGCTCACAACGTACCCCCAAGGTGACCTTTGGCCACCAGTGAGGCCATTCACAAATAGACCAGATGGTGTGATCTGATCTGTCTGCCTTTGCTGTTGCACACGCGCCGTTGCTGCCGTGGGTACTTTATACAATATGATGATACGATGGGTTGTTGAGAGTGAGCGTGATTGAGAAGGTTCGAGAGCTCACTAGTCTCACACCAAGGCAAGGAAAGATGTTGTTTTTCCACCGATTTACACCCACTTGACCTCATTATTTCTATTTCCATGGACGGATGTTCCGCCGACCGCGTTGTTGCGTGCATTCTGCTGTATCTCTTCACGACGCATGTGTCTAGACCTGACCTTTTGCCCTGTCTTCTCCTTTGTCTTGTTGCTGTGCCACGAGTCGTGAGAACTGTCGACCATCATGCGTGGCGAACCCCCCGGCCGACCAGCACATCGATTTGCAACATTGCACTCACTCACGCGTCTCACGACGGGTTGCATTAATTTGTCGCTGACATTCATGCATTTGCGAAACCACGTGTGTTGTTTCGTCCGCGCGCTCTGCCGCGCACCCTGCCGTCACCCGCCCAACGAAAGGTCTCTCTTTCGATGGTTGATGAGCAGACACGGGGAACAGTTCGCGGAGCACGGGATCACAACAAAAACCCTGGAACGCGCTCCTTTAGCGCGGGAAGCGTTCTACACGTCGTCCTGGCCAGGGGCGCGGGCGCTCGTTCAGATGAACGAGGATAACAAGGCGAGCAATCGAACAGAACGCTAGTTGCTTTCAACGATCGACAGACGACCAAGAACACGCGCACACTGCACAGTAGCGCACATGTGTCAGCGGTTTCTTTTTGCTTTCTTCGCTCTTGCATGTCCCTAAACAGGACAATCGCACGCAAACTGACACACAGGTAGGCGTCGTGGTTGGATCCGATGCCAGTGATTCTCGTTGCCGAAGCACGGGGCAATCGCTCGTGCCGCCTTTCACTTACTCGCTCTCCTGCGCCCTGGTGAAGAGAAGAGCATGTTTTGACTAAATAATACTTCCCCTGTGTTAAAAGATAGTGACGTTTGGAAAGGAATGCAAATATGTTACGGAACAGGAGGAGTGATGAGAGAGTCGCGAGTTCGATTATCAGCCGGAACATGTTATTTTTTGGAAAAAATATGTTCGTTTTTTTTTCTGTCCAACACCTTCCCCTTGTTTTTGCTCCTCGAAGTTTCTAATGTTTGCAACTTTTACTATTTTTCACCGGCTGAAACCGAAGAACACACCAAAAAAGGAAAGCGGGCATCCCTGGGTAGCTTAGACCGCCAAGATTGCAACTAGAAGAAGACGACGAAAGAAGGGCCTTTTTCCTTCACGCAGGAAGGAAAGAAAGACGGCCCTGTTGCGCCACTGACCCTTTCTCTGGAAATCAATATCGGCGATGGTTTTCCATCCGGGGGAGGTGTTTTGTTTGTTTTTTCACACCATTCCCCCGGCTATCTTGTCCAAGCATGATAAGAGATAAACGGTGCCAGGAAAAGAGCATTTAACGCCTTATGTTGAAAGGGCCTTGTACTTCGGACATTTCCACAACTCCTATTTTTTGGAACAGAGGAAGCAATCGTTTTAGACCTTTGCCAGGGGTATTTAGAAGCGTATGCATTCAACGGTCACGATCCATTTTTGCACTGACTGACGTTGGGGTCATGAGGGTTAGGGTTAAGGGTACGGTATGAGGAGTTCCAAGCGCCAAGGGCGGTGCATGGAAGTAGGATAGTTTGTGGGTTTGGTCGCGTCTGGAGGAAACTTTTCTTTGTCTCGCAGGCCAATGGTACACGCGAAAAATAATTCCGGACACACAAGAGCCCCTTCCCCCAGGAGGGCAATTTCGATTTCGATATATGTATGTAGGAAATAGTTGTAGGGGGCTTTGTTCACGAAAATATGTCATCAAACCCCCTAATGAAAAGGGGTTTCTATCCACGGTGCCCCTTACGCAATTATATAGTGTAGAGATTAGATTACCCCCGCCCAAATCCCCCCCACCCCGTCCCGCACGGCCTCCGATTTCGATCGGTGGGCCGATGTTTCTTGAAATTGCTATTATTGCGTGTGTATACCCTATCGTAGGCATTTCAACAGCGTCCTCCCGCCGGTGAACTCCTCCTGCTCTTATCTTCGTTTTTTTTTTCTATGCATCACCAACGGTCGCCCCGGTGGTCTAGTTGGTAACCCCGCAATCTTCTAGAGGTCAGGTCAGGGGTCCGAATCCCGGCGTAAGCGAGCTTTTCTTGCAAAGTGAGTTTTTCTCTCGCTTCCGCCCCTGGCCTAGTGGATAGCGCGAGCTCGTGTGTGCACAGATGGAAGAGTGCTGAACACTTCTCGTATTAAAAATCGAAGGCAAAGTACCGCAGGAGGGGAGGGTAGAGAGGGGCTCTTCTGTGTGACCACGGATTGGAGTAAACGGCACTAGTGCCGTGAGCGCTGATTTGAAGTGAAGACAGAAAAAATATATATAGTCGTCCGTGAAGAACCAGCCTCATCCAGTTCCCTAACCCCAACCTCTAAATTTGACTGAGCAGAGAGGTGCTGTACGCATTTTGTAGCATTGGGCGGCAACAAAGTTGCCGTTGCCGCGCAAGGGTTGTAATTGTCGAGTAGCAAATGTTGGTTGGCTGCGTGTGCTGAAAGCATGACCTCGTGGTGCGTGGAAACAGTCAGGAAAGGACGAAGGAGCTTTCTCTGAGGGACAGATAGGTAGAAAGACATGTTGAACATGACGACAAGAATATGCCTCAAGTTCATATGCCGACATGGAGACCAAAAACCGCTCGCTTTTTGTCACATCGCAACCGTTGGGGGCATTTGCGCAATAACGCCACGAGGGGCAAATTCCTAATCGGGGTTGTTTTTTTCTTGTGTGTCATGTGTACATTAGTTGTGTTCGTTCCACGGCAACGATAGGCTACATACAGAGAGCTGTTAATGAACGTATGCTTTAGAGTGGTTCATCCGTCGCACATTTTCTTCAACGCAAGTACGTATGCATGTCAGCTCTACACATGAAAAAAAAAACAGAGCCTAGGTATGTGGATGCCTTCGACCTCGGCAGCAGCCCTTAACCGGTGATGACCTGTTTTGACTCTCTCTCGCTCTCGACAGTTCCAGCGAACGGAATTGTTCGACCAGATAATCGAGAGGGGCCTTGATGGTGGCAACTCCCGCTTCAGTGTCGAGCACTTGGAGAACGACGAGAGATCCACTCTGGGCATCATCCAGGACAGTGCCACGGGAAGGTACCGCCTCCAGGCTTACAGCCCCGCCGAGTAGCCGTTGAAAACGCCAATATGCAGGTACTAATGTACATGTGTACCCCCAATTTTGGCGATGATGGATACATAAAATATCCATACGATGCGACGTTGACACGATATCGGGATATAGACTATATCGGATGTCCCTGATCTATCGATGTTGCGACATCGAATACAACGTGGTACATGAAGTACTGTACTCCGCATTGTCCGACTACGGCGATGCTGGAGCATGGGCTACAGAACCGGACGGGCGACCCCCGAAGCAAGTGATGTTCAGCGATATCGTGGGGAGGGAGAGGCCCACGCGGTGGGCGTCCAGAATAGAATTGAGTGGCATGCTTGAAGACGACTTCAAAGAGTTTGGTGCCACAGCCGAGTCCACGGGTAACGAATTGGGGGCGTTCGGAATACCTCGTGTCTCGCAGCAAAGGTAAACTTGGGTTACCATGGTACAATAGGGGTGATACAGGGGGCGGGGAGATTCGTGATTCAATGATTCAAGGCGGGAGAGAAGGCCAGTAGGCTGCGTGCGGATGAACGGGACGAGAAGATCACGGGNTCGATGTTCTCGTCCACACCCCACCCGGGACGGCTCGACAAAACCCCCGTCCGCTTGTTCTCCAGCCTGCGGTAACGGGGGGGGGGAGTGGGGGGGGGTACTCATCGTCTTGCATGCGGTAGTCATTTGACCATTGACATGCGTGCAAAGCCGGGGTGGAGCACGCCGGGCTCTCACCGGACCAGGATCTCACATCCCGAAGCAGGGGGGGAGTGGCCTACAGTGCGCCTTCATTGTCACACCGTGCGAAACGTTCCGGGAACGCCTCCAATGGGAACGACACCAAAGTACGCTGTGTTGCCGCGCCCCCCAGCTGTCGCGAAGGTCATCGTCATGGCAAGACTGAACGAGTGCAACTAGTCGCGTTGGTTCACGACAATGAATCATGACGTCTTGAAGGGGTCGGGCTCGATTTCACAGAGGGGCACCGAATACCCTGCCCGTGAATGAATGTCGGGGCGAGAACGGACGAGTGAACATCGCGAAGCCCGTTTCCGCGGAGCTCAATTTTTTCAACGATTACTATCATTTTCTTTGAGTCTTCGTGTGCATCGGCAACCACTTGCCACTTCGGGTCAAGTGTCAAGACCCGCCTCACGGCCAGCAGCCGGAGGTCGGCGATGTCAATCCTTCCGCGGCCGCGCCGTAAGTGCAGTATGAAAGTGAAAGTGCTATTCACTCTGTCGAACCATTCACAACGAAGCTGTGTGAACGGGGAACAGAGTAGGCACTCATCTGGCGTCTTCACTCTCAACACTGGTTTCACGGTTAAATCCCCCAGATGCCCAGCGGGAGCCTTTGGTATCGCATGTCCGATCCGGAACAAGTCTGCGAAATGCGATTGGTAAATCGGTGGATTTCTCGGTACGATAGAAATACAGTGCGACCACGATATGACATCATACAATACCCTTGGAGGTTGCTTGAACGGACAAGAAAAACATTCAGTCTTGGATGGAAAGCCTGCGTCTGCGTGCCGCCTGCAGAAGAATAGGGGGCATTATGCAATTCGCGCTCGACAAGCATCTGCACCCATTTCACAGGCAAGATCGGCGAAACGAATAATGACACACATGTGGATTCTCCGAAAGCATACCATGTTCGGAAAATGACAATATTATAGGATACCATCAGGATTGTCATTGGTAAGTTGAAGAGGAGATACTTGTACGATGTAAATGACAGTAGAAATAAGTCCTACATGTTGTTGTACTTCTTATTGGTTTAATATTCATGTAGAGTATGAGACATTAAGTGAAAGTTTTCTGAGGTACATCTGCAATTGTCGGAAGGCAAAAATAAATAAATAAATATTGTAATCATTCGTCTGCATTGAGCAGCAAAATCGAGCGAGCTTCTAACTGAGAGGGCAAGACAGCCAGAGAGCGATTCACGGTGGGGTCCTACAAAACAGAATCATTTTACGGTTTCGAGCCACATGCCACAACTTGTCTCTCTACATACTCTGCCAAGACACGCTGTCTCAATACCATGCGGGGACACGCTCGGCATCGCCTCAAATCACCCAGGCCTAATCGGGGTGAAGGAACGAGCGTCCATATATGATGCCTGAGTCCTTTGATGGCTGCTCCCTATGCCTCAGCCGTCTCAGGTGTGTTTGTCGAAGCCGGGGACTTAGGTCACCACAGCGTGAAACTTGAATATGTGTGGGCCCTACAGGGATGAGGGAGACGCGCAACCCTCAGTGTCCACATGCAAGAAAGGGTGCGGGGTGTAAAGTTGTAATCGCTTCACCGAGCGCGCCGGAGGATGTCACCGACGAAAACGCAGCAGCGGGGCAGTGTCAGCAACCACGTGCGGGTCGGAAGCTGCAGCTGCTGTGGACGCTGCATAGGTTTTGGAAGAGGACGATTTCGCGGGAATGTAAGCTGGGTAACACGAGCGATTTTTCTCGCCTGTGACAGTTGGTGTTACCAAGGACATCATCACCCTGGAAATTCCGCCAGTCTGCTGTGAATTTCATGGAGACAATGAGTGAAATTTGTCGGGTCCCGATATTCACACGAGGAGTGAAATTTGCCAGACTCGTTTCCATGACACCCAATGACTTTTCAAGTTCATCGCCTGAGCAGCGCACAAGCGAGTACACTAATGTGCGGCTATCTTCGCCGATCTGTCTACAGGCCGGTCATCATCTGATCCATAACAGACGCGCCCGAAATCAGAGAGACAATAAGATGTACACACGCTTCCGGCCAAGGCGACCAAATGCACATACAGGGGGCGTAGGGGGCGATTTTTCGAGCCCGTTGCCGCTGCTACTAGTGAAGTGGTGCACATTTACAAAGCGGCGGCGGCATCAGCAGCATCAGCAGCAGCAGCAGCAGGTGATTTGTGAGAGCTTCGTCCACGCCACACAACATTTTTACTCGTCCCGGCCCTGCGAAATAGCAGCAGTCCTGCGTTCACGACCGACCGGTGGTGTTCGGTGAGGCGCGAGCGTGTGCAGTAGCAGTGGTGACCTCTCCTCTGTGCGGCTCGATCCATGTCTATCTACGCCAGCGTCTCTCTCTCCGCCCGTTCATTTTCGCGCTTCGCGCAATATAGTTAGGTTTCGTTTTGTTGGACCGCTATGCATAAATGGGAGGAGCCAATACTTTCACCGATTTGTCCAATTTGCCGTGGATTGTCGCATTAGTTTCGCGGAATTTCCACATGCAATTCATTCTCTAGAGTCTAGTGTTTCTTGTGAAAAGAAACGAGCTTTTGGTACCAAGATGCGTATAGGTCCCCTCGTTGAAGGAGCCGCATCGAAGCCGAAAATGACAAGGATCTCTGGCCACGAGACCCCTCAATTTCATTCTATTCAGGGAAACGTTTGCGTGTTTCGAAGTGAAAAATCAGTTTCACACCGGTACATTGGACACGGTAAGTTCTCCATAGGAATGGTTCCCGCGTGCTTGCATTCAGTGTGATTTCGTTCGCAACTTCCTGGTGGATCTTGGGGGAGAGTGGGAAGTACATCATGATGTGACACGCTCAGCAATACGTCCATTCGTCGGGCGAAGCGGATGGGACGGGAGAGTTAATGCCATTCCTTCAGGATCGTCTGGATTGTACTTCATCTTCTCTGTCTGGATTCACTTGCGCAACCACCACAAGAAAAAGTGTCCGAGTTGACAAGTTGCGTCCACAAGCGAATCGATCCACGCTCAACATGTGGGATGTGCCGATTGGACCCGATCAACCGCTTTCCTGTACCATCGATGGTGGCAGTGGCTTACTCCGTACTGTATGCACTATTGGCCCCGGTGCCACGATGTCTGCGGCCAGCAACTTGTATGAGTGTCTTTGAATTTGCCTCGACCGCTCCAGCCGGCTGAACCTTGAAAACACGTCGGTCTCATGCATGCAGCGGGATAAACAACGCGCGCGGATGTGCAGGCATGTCCTATTTCTACCCCATTGCAGAAGAGATCATCGGCCAGGTTGTCGAGCCGGCGAAATAACAAGTGTCGTATTCTGTGCTGGGTCGGTGTCGATATTCGTGCCAAACGCCGACTTTCGACCACAATCAGTCGGAAACCTCCGAATTATACTCGATGGCAGGTTACTGGCCACGCTCAGACCCACAACCCAAGATCCGTCGAAGAAAGCCAGCAAGCTTGTCAAACCAGCCACTTAAATATATCCACGAGATGACAAAAAACAACCCACATATGCATAAAAAGTAAACCAAAAGCCGCAGGGCACGGATGACGGGGCAATTGATAGACTAAGCTCCAAGAGCACAAAAAAGCATGCCGGCAGCGAGGATGTGCAATACCACCCAGGGGCGCGGGGCTCATGCAGCCCTTTCCTTTCGTCTACATGTGAACTATCTATACTAAATGGAGACGACAACGACGACCATGAGGTCGACGAAGGCGACTAAACCAAGAGCTGCAACGGGTTGTTCTCCATAAGGTCGGCGAGCCCTCCCAGGAACAAGGCGGCGTCAGCCCCGTAAATGTGTCGGTGGTCGCACGTGATGGTCACCGTCATCTCCTTGACAGTGGTGAAGCTGCAGGGGCGCGCACGGGCGACAAAAAGAACGAAGGGAATGGGAGTTCACTGAAAAATTGTACGGTGACAAGGAGAGGGGCATTCGCGCCTAAGGAGGAAAGCGGATGGATGGGCCAAGGCTGCAGACGCGTGGTCACACGCAAGGTGGTCGGACAGACTGGTGTGTGGCAGTCAGCCAGGCCCCTCCTGGCGAATGTAGTGCCTCAAGTCACGAGTTGGTCGTGTCACCTTCCGTCTGGCTTCTGGACTACGGTAGGAAGAGACCCGCCGATGGCGAGGATGGCACCCATCTTGCTCGGAAGTATAGCGGCAAAGTCAGACACACCTGCAGAGAAAATTACATCATAGTTCGAGTGAGGGGTGGAGCATTGTTGCCATCACGCAGCGGCAGGGTTGTGCTCCTCCTGCTGAGGTATCTTCATGCCGCACAATGCTCGATAGGTACAGTGTGAGGGTGTGTGTAGTTGATCGCAAATCAAAACTGTGAGAAGGACAGCAACAGCCACGAACAACGTACTTTCCAGGAAACGAGGACGGACAAAACAATTGAGCGAGTGGGACCACAATCATAAGACTACATCCAAAGACAAGAGATGTTCTTATGCAACGTTCGTCTGCATTTGCTTTTCTCGCATCGGACGTCTTCTACGTCTTTGTTGAGAGCAGGAAACGGCTGTCATCTCTGCTGGAGAAAGGTGATGGGGACCCAGCAACCCGGAACCTTTCAAGCTGCTTCTGCGTGATTCTCCAGCAGATCCCAGGCAACACAAAAAAAGAGACAAACAACCTCAGACGTTTCGCAAACTGACATCCAGAAGCTCGAGACTACGCACCGGAGCCAAGCGCGTACTGCTACCTCACACGTACGTACTCGAATCATTCGTAGGGACATCGTACGAATATATAGCTGCCGAGCACTGCAACCGAATCTTCAAACTTCGTCCAATATTTGGTACTTGACGTCGAAATGACCCTAAACGTGTTGCCACAACATCAACGACAACAGCAACTCCAGAACACGGGGAGAGCTTTCTCCTCACCGAACATGCCCAGGTTAGTGATGGTGAAGGTGCCCCCAGTGTACTCGTCCGGCTTGAGCTGCTTCGCCTTCGCCTTGCCAACGAGGTCCCTCCACTTGTTCGACAGACCCAGCAGGCTCATCATGTTAGCGTTCTGGTGGCACCAGTGATCGGCAACGACAGAGTCGAAGGTACAGCACACGGCGCAGGGATTGGGCGGAGGTTGGCATTGTGCTGGCAGCAATCAAATACAGAGCAGGTGATGACAGGATCGAGCAAATGCAGCACACGCACACGGCAGGGATTGGGAGAAGGGCAGTGAAGGCTGGACCATGCTGGAGTAGAAGCAAACAAGTCGACACGGGTGCCCCGACATGACATACGTATGTACATGTTGCTCAAGAATCCCCACCCACAGGATATACCATGTGGTCGTCGGGGCGGAATAGATTTGACGTGACGAAAACACCAACAGAATTCACGCACGTAGAAACCATGGTTCTCGTCTCTATTCGGAGAACACATCCATACCTACTTGTCGCTCGGACGGAAACGGCATTGCCGTGATTGCTAGCTCAAAACCCTTGCAGCGAGGCTCTCTCCACTCCACGACTTCGTCGCTGGTACCTCACAACTGCGAGACAGACGGGCGGTCCGACCAAGCCTATACACCCTACGTTTTGTCTTGACAGGCCTTGGGGGGGGAGGGGGGGGGGGGGGG